ATATATATATATATATATATATATATATATATACAATTAACTATACAGTTTTACACTAACAATATTTGACAATGGTCTCAGTCAGTGAGAAGCGAACACTACAAATATAATTACAGGTACAATAAACGAGTTATCGGTTAGTATTATAGACCTATAAGATGGGTAGTAGATACAGTACATGGCACCTGATTGATAATTTTATCTTACGCTTACTGCCTGTTGATTATCAAATCTGGAAACCCCCCTCAAGGGGTTGGATTGATATTTTAAAGGATTTAGCCTAGATAAGTTTTCTGGAATGTAGTTTATTGCGTGCCGGTATTAAGTTTTTATTTGACGTCAATAGACACCATTAATAAATAATAAATTAAAGACATTAGAAATGGTAAACAGTTTGCCGCAATAATTCACAACATTTTAATTTTTGTTTTGGGGTTTTTTCTTTCATCCATTTTGATTCGTGTTATTCCACATATTGCGTGCGTGCCTGAACTAGGCAGTAACGATGAGATGTTGACACGTGTTCGTAAGTCATTATGCGCCTACAATTAGCTAGACTTCAGGATACGTTGATTTCCGTGATCGCGAGGTGGCCAGCCGGTTTTAATGGTCTATCTCTCGACCGCAACCCGTAATATTTTTACACACGTTCTTTTGAGGTTTCGCCACGCGTGGACCTGAGTTTACGTGTGAAAATTATGTGCTGACGTCATTATACTATGCGTAGATCACGCTATGACACTATGTATTATTTTAATGATCAAATCTACCCGCATCACTTTGTGATGAGGATATAATGATAGGATCGAGGCCAAAAACGTGTATCGTAGACATGAAGAAATCAAACAGACGATAAAATTATTCACATATTGTTTTGTATTTGTAAGCACATCTGCTTCAAAAACTGTAGGTAAAGAACTAAACTATTGTAGAAACATTTTACAATTAAAATATCATTATTCTCTGTTAGGCCAACGTAGGAACACAGCACCAGGGTCTGTGGAAAATTTAAAAATATAAAAAGGGGTATTTGAGTAAGGCCAAATAAAAAATTACTTGTTCAGAGTCACATCTCAACAAAATTTAGGTGGGGATGGGCAAACTTCTTCCAATTAATTTATAGTATCAGTAATCTACAAATCTATGTTGGATTATAGGTGCTACTTTAGCAGTGCCATGCTTAGACACAACAGGGATAGCTCACACATTCCCATTGAGCATGACCCTATATTTGTACTTTTCAACATCATGAACAAAGTAAATAAAAACAAAGAAATTGTCCCAAAAACAAGAAAGTGTTCATAATTTTCATTAGGCCTGCAATAAATATTACACCTGGTTGGTAAAATCGTTATTTTAATTCACTTAAAATAGGCCTACACTGACTTGATTAGCATTTCCTGGACGCTATTCAATTTTTTAAAATAAATACAAACATTCCCGCCTCTAAATTTTTATTTTGGTTCAAAAATTCAGGTGGGGGCGGTGACGGTGAACAAGTAATTTTTTAGTTGGCCTAATGTTTACAATCTCAAAATAGTTGACTGGATAGCTTAGGTTAAACAATTATCGTTGTAAACCATGATACGCCAAATGAGATTAATAATAATTACATTTCAAAAATTGCCTTCGAGGCTCCAACGGGCCCTCAAGTTGTAGTGGAGATCCAAGATACTTCAACCTTCCCAGGGTCCTGGGTTGAAATCCTGTTACAGGACTTATTTTGTATGTATCTCGATTAAAAGTATCGCCACTCCTAATGAGACCTATTATATGAAGCATGTTGTTGTTATTACGACTTCGTTTATTTAAGAGGGCCCCTGAATATCAGTTAAGCTGGGTCACCTTGGATAAATATAGTGTTAAAAAGCAAATAGCATGGTTTACAGCTATAATAATTGCTTATTAGCGACCATGGAAGTAAATTTGTTATATATTAGGTCCAATTGATATGAATAACTGTGCCGATCTCTCATTTTTAGCCTAGGCCTAATGATGGTAACTCATTTTGATCCTACGTTGAATTTATTAAATTCAATTAGGGTCACAAGATTATGTTTCCCAGGTCTAATCTTAATATTAATACATCATCTGTTCCATGCGAAATCCGTGTTCAACATCTATGATTGATGAGCCTTGAAAATACATATAATGCAGCCTTAAGGGATTACATTCATTGCTGAAGAATTATAGAAGAATATTAACATATCAAAGTTAAATTTCTCAAAATTTGCGCCACACTGATCACATTTTTCTCGTACATTTTATTTCCAACATTAACGCTGCCATTATCATAATCGTATCCAGCGATTTTTCCTACGAATATTTAATGACCGACATCATGATGGAGGTTCTCTTGTTCTTTTCAAAATCATTAATTCTCTTTAAAAGATTTTGCTTAATGTTGACACAAAGACGAAATAAATTAAACGAATCTGCATGTAGGCCTATATATAATTTTCAGAGCCAATCAATGTACCATAGCTCTTCGTTTATACGACAGTTTTAGTACATAATAGTAAACAACAATAGAGCCTAGTCATGATGATAGAGTTATACAGTAATCATAACGGGCCCAACAATAATAATACAGTAATTGTAATAACAGAATAAAAAATATAATACATTCGTAATTTCGGACGTAGGCTATTATATTTTGTATTTGATGAGGAAGGTACTTTCAGCTTTGACGATGGAGTGATGCATGATGGGTAATTGTTCTTAAAAACATTTCAACTATTAGAAGCACAATCTGAAGAGGAATACCGATAATTGAATTAAATCTCTTTTTGTATTTAAACGAAGGTAATGTTTAAAGAAATTGCGATAAAACATAAAACCCTCACAGACGTTTAAATTATATATTAAATTGCTTTTAAAAAAGATCCACGAGTTAACAACTTTCAATAAGGCACATAGGCCTAATTTGTATTTAAATTCATTACCATCCAATTTAAAGGTTTATGTACAGAATATAATAATGGTATTATGTCGGCGTCTGTTAACTGGAGAGGAATGATTTAAAACTAACAACATGGTAACAGGCCTTTCCACTTAAGGCCAACTCAGACAGCGTCGGCCAACGCAGCCCGACCAGATTTATCGTCGGGGACAGTCTTAAGCCGTCGTGAGAAATATTAAACATGTTTAATATTCTACGACGCGTCTGCCCCCGACGCACACCATCGCGTCTGCGTTCAACTCACACAGACCCGATGCGACAACAAATCGCGTCGGGCTACGTCGTACGACGCTGTCTGAGTTGGCCTTAAGGCCCCACCGAGTTGGATATTGTTGCTAATGATCCACAAAAGAACTGAGAAAAAATCATAGAGATAATAACTCTATGGAAAAAACATACATGTGCGTTTTTTGTGGGACTACACGCGTGCGTTTGTGGGACGACACGCATGTGTTAATGCGTATTCCTGGTCCTGTTGTGATTGGTCAGTTGTTAAGTTTGGTTGACACTCTTGAAGGCAAAGAGCTGGGCATCGAAGAACTTAAATAGCAGAAGAATGAGCTGCTCCGCGTATTTGCTTTAAAATCGATGGAACATTCGCCCTCCTGCGGATGAGGTAAAATTTAAACATTTTACTAAGTCGAGAAACTACAGGAGACAAACGAACCAGAACGGCGCCTTTATTGCTGTTTATTATTTCTATATAGCGCCGCCGCGCGGATAAGGTAAAATTGCTCTCCGTGTACCCACAATGCCTTTCGAAACGGATGTTCCACTATATTGGGAAGCTGTTCTATCTTCTGCTATTTATTATATTTGCTGGGCATGCACTACGTCGACCGACGGCAGGCAGACATTCACGTATCTTCGTCCTGCATAGGGTTATTTGGGTCTCATATTCACACGATTGGCACTTGGGTTTTCAGACCAACAGTTCAAAATCAAAAAGAAGATAAACAACAACAACAACAACAACAACAGTAGAAACAAGAGAGAATAAAGGAAAAACAATGGTGGGAAAATGAAGAATAAGTTGCCCTGTGTAGAAAAAAAAGAAAGAAGAAGAAACAGGAACGAGGATGTTTTTTAAATGAGTAGGAAGGATGTGGATTCCCACAAATCGTCACGTCACGAAATCAGTCGTAGTACGCCTGAACTTGATACAGTTCACCATCCAATTCGAAATCAACTTTGGAACCTTAAAATTTAAGGTGGTCTCATGGTTCTCCACATAGAGGATTAGCTCAGTTTCAATAGATTGAATATTGTTAATTTGTTATTCGCTTCTTTGAGCGCTGGGACAGAAATCACCCAGCCAACCATTCGTTCATTTTGATGCGGAGTGGTCGTCGATATCAATCACTTAGCTAGTGACCAGGAGGGGTAGATCTCTACGTAGTTTCTATCCCTCCGCCATTAGGGCATTGAACAAGTCACTAGTCTGAAATTTCCGTATTTTATCTTTGTTTTTATTTAGGAACCAAATTGAATTTCACTGTATGTGTATTGTACATGTAGGCCTATACGTGACAAATAAAGTGTATTGAGTATTGAGGTGCACTGCATTCAAGAAAATATTTATGAGGTCATATGTTGACAAAAATTTGGTTTTATTGTTTCTGATTACAGTGCACCCTCCATTTTTAATTCTTTAAAGAATATTGTGACAGCGCCTATATTTGTTGGCGAATATTTTGTGACAAATCGTGCTACACGCCCAGCTTTATCATCCATCATTTTCCTACGAGGGTTGTTGCCCATTTGGGCAATATCTATTGGCAATAGATAAACTCCATTAATTTACAGAATGTACACAAAGTCGGCGATATATAACTTCGATCAAAAGATATATTATAAACTTGCTCAGCAACTTTTACTGGCTTATACATACACACGTATCCAGCATACTGATATGATATACACCGTTCTTTTCAATCTTTACGATTTTATAACCGCCACACATCTGAAAATTTCACTAAGATCCTTTATAAATGAGAAATCCACTAAATGTAATGTATTTGTGGCTCTCTTCGCTGTCTAGTCCAAAATTTGAGTTTGGGCCTACCCTCAGCCAAACTTTATCACCTTGGTTCATCTGTAGTATCGTGCTCTGTGTCTGCATTATGTTCCGGTCACTGCGGTCTGCCGAAATACTTGTTTGAACCTCTTTGTTCTTCATCAATGCGACGTACGTCGTGTGATAGTCAAGTGATCTTACCCTGAAATATTACCAAAATCAATTTTTAAAAAAATCAATTCTCAAGATTAAATTTAAATCACAATTGGCCTATCAAAATAGCGATGGTGATACTCAGACGCTGAACCATCTTCATGAGCTGTCATAATATTCTTTACTAAAATTCTCCATTTTAATAATAATAATAATAATAATAATAATAATAATAATAATAATAATATGATTTATATCACCTTTCCAAAACGATCAAGGCGCTTCACAAGGACGTACAACATCAGAAATACAGTAAGTTTTTACAACAATTATAATAATTTACAATAGGAATACAATAAGTAATTAAAAGAGAACCAATATAAAAATACAATAAGAAAAATACAAATGCCAACGACAATATACATTTTCTTAAATTTACATTTGATACAGTATTATTTTACAATTATTACAAATTTTTACAATTCGAAAAAATTCATGATTATAATTAATTATTCATATTTTTTTAAATTCCCAAAATCAACTATTATAGACAATTCGACATTCAGAAACCAATTCCAAATTCAGTACGTAAATCAATTAGTATCTACAATTAGATACGGTACACAAAATACAATGTCCTATTCTTATTGGCCATATTATATATCGGCACCTATTTCCAAAAGTAATTTAAAAAAAGAAGCGAATTGTAATCCGAAGCGGATTCTACTACCCGACGGAATATTTGGCTCTGTCGCTGGTGAATACCTCTATGGTGTTGCCGTTGCCGCATGCAGTTTGCTGTCACGTGTGACTGCTGGGTGTTGCCGTCGGGTATCGCTGTCGTGTACCGGTACCAATTTTTAACAACACTATTCACGCCACGGTCGAGTGCAGCAGCACTGCAGCCTGCTGCCGTCGCGTGATTGGGAATTCAACAGAATGACGCACATCATCTCCGCTCTCGAACATAGCGCGTGCGTACAGTCCTTTGACCTTTACTGTGGCATCGACAATCCGATACTAGTTGCGAGTACAGCCGTCAATTATTTGTCTATGCGTGCCATACGTTTTATGGTGTTAGTTACTATCATAGAGCTATTAAACAACTAGAGTGCTGACAAGATGGCGCAGCAATGCAGAGTTGTGTACGTGTACCATCCAAGATGGCCGTCGTTGTAAAGCGCCACCTTCAGGCTTAGTATACATATTACATTATTAATAAGCCCTCTGACTGACTATTATTTCATTAATGATAATGAGTAATGGTAATAACAAATTATTAAACTATTGTAGCCAAAACGAGGCCAATTGGAGCATCATATTCAAAAGTAAAGTACCGAGGAATGAAAATTAAAATCGTGTACATTACACCCAAACACCGCAACGCTCGAGTTTCAAACATAAGGGTAACTAGCTGTACTGAACTTTCTAAGTAAATTGAGGGAGCAATTGCAAACGATGGTGCTTAGCGAAATTCGATTGGCTAAATCTATGGCAGCCATCTTGGATGGTACACACACACACAGTTCTGCGTATTTCGAACATCGAATACATTGCGGTTAGCGCTCTAGTATTCTTATTATATCTCTATGGTTACTATTTTATTAATTTTGGGTACTTCGCAATGCCTGTTACATCTGATTCCTTTTGACCGCGAGCTTGTTAAATGCTTCTATAAACTGCAATTTTATTTGTGAAAATTGACCAAGAAAATGAAAAGTTATAGCAATTGAAAATTTACGAACTTTATAAAATTTCATGTTCTTATGTAACATTAAACTGTCATTTTGAAAATGTTGGACTAAGGTGCACAAAACGAACATTTGAGTAGATACAGAACATTTATTAATTTGTTCTGCGAAGTGTGTCTCATCAACGACAATACACCACAATATCGGTAATGCAATAAAATTAATGTTGAAATGAAGAATATAATTTCAGTGTATGTTAGTGCAAAATATCATTAGGCCTTTTTAATCACCGCACGACGCGCGATTATCATGGCAACTAACACGCGCGTGGGTAATTCGTCACGTACGCTGACGGTTTATGGTCTGGTTGCTATGGTTTTTGCGAGTCAGCGTGTAGGGACGCACGTTCACCTAGTGGATGCCTAGCGCTGTTCTGATTAGTCAGTTGTTAAGTTTGATCAAAGTGTATAAATAGAACATGAGAGCCAACAACACTCATTGAGAGCGTAAAAAAACGATACGCCCTACGCAGCTAGTGTAGGACGCCAACTAACGCTTGTATGTTTTTTTATTACCCAGTACTCCACCGCGCACGGTAGGTTTGTCTGTTTATCTGTTCTCCACAATATACTGTACTTTTGTTTTCTGCTTACTGAGTTTATAGCGGGCGTACTTCTACCGCGCTGCGCAGCGCTGCACTGGGTAATAAAAAGAATATACAACCGTTAGTGGGCGTCCTACACAGGCGTGACGTTTTTACGAACGGGACTTTGCTCTCTTGTTCTATTTATACTCTTTGGTTTGATTGACACTCCGGAAAGGTCTATTGCCTTGGTTGAATCATGGTGTTATTGTTGCGTATAATAGTTTCTTTGCATGTTGCTTTAACATGCTCTTGACGCATGCCTTTGTCATCAGCCTTTGCGTACACTGTGGTGCGTCACTGTGGCGTGCCGTTGTCAAGTGCTGCAGAGCCGTAAATAGAGAGAGTTTGGCCAACTTGGCGCATGGACGCCATGTCGTTACCAAACAGCCCAGGCGCATGCGCGCGTATAGCTTTAATGTTTTGTTTTGGTGACAACATGGCCGGTGTAAGTCATGTGATTGCGATCCACCCAATCACACGCGCGTATATCGAATCCCGTGAAACAGATTTGGCCAAACTCTCTCTATCTACGGCTCTGGTGTGCTGCTGTAAGGTGTCGTTGTTGCGTGCTGATTAACGTACGGCCATTGCTGTTTCTGCCCTTGAAAGTCGCTCTCTGTGTAGGTCTACATCAATTTTTTCCGCTTTCGGGTGGCAGTTATATATTTTAAATCATGAATCATAATCATGAATAACGTTAATTCATCTTATATAGTAAGAAAACATATAATATACCGGTACACTTACGTGAATGTGAAAAAGTAAAATCCATTTAGTTGACAAACGAACGTATTATTATTGATGAAATGCTTTCCCTTGTTGGCGAAAGTGTGATTTAAATTGATGGTGCGAAAGTCCTTGTCGTTGCCGTAAAATGGTGTCTTTCGTGCGACAGAAAACAGTGACTTTCTTGCATCTAACATAAATAAATTTTAAAATATATTGTATTTATTATACTCATTTGCATATATAAACTCTTTGCCCTAAATGGTTTTTAACTAGTTTTCATGCTGGCTATGTAGGCCGAGAGTGATCTAAAGTCAATAACAACTGTTTCCAAATGACTTCTTCTTTTTTTATCGTCCATCGGAGCCGAGGCCCGAAACAACATTCCCATCTTCTTCCAGGTGCCCATATTAGGGTGGTGACGCAGACAAACATACAAATGATTTAGATATTTATTTATCAATGAAATATCTAAAAAGTTTACTAGTGTTTTAGTAGTCGTGTTAATTTCATATCAGATAAGTCAGTGATTGGCTTTTCAAATTGACCAGCCTAATTACCGTACTATATTGTATAAATTGTAATTTCACATTGGCTGTTATCAATTCAATTTAATACACATTTATTTGGTAATTTTCTTATATTAGAATAAATTCTAAAATATTGTTTTATAATCTATCCGAAAGTCGGTTTCTTTGCTATTAAACTTGCAAAAAACATACGGTACAGCTCAAATATCCAAACCTCAAGGTGAAACACAAAGAGAACAGGGAGGGAATTGAACCTAGAACCAAAGGTTTAATATTATATTTACAGTTCAGCATGCACATAGTGGACCACTAGTTTAGCCAATTCAGTTAAGCTGTTCCACAAACGATTACATAGGCCTACAAAACAAGTAGGCCTACATTAGTAACTGTTACTTGTATACATACCACTTGCTGCTCTGGGATCATACAGAACTTCGTTCTTGTATTTCTTCCTCCCGGCCCCGCGTGCTTCGACAATCATGTTTGTTTGTTCCTCCTTTAGTTCATTATTTTTCATGAGGCTATTCTTCTCCAGATCGCTTACTCTTTTCTCCATATCTTTTAATTCCAGAATTTCAGTTGTGCTGTCTGTTTCGTTGCAAGCTTCGACAATGATCGTAGTGGTGACAGATTCAGCAAGATCAATTGCCTTTAGCTGCAACTCTAACGTTGACAATCGATCGTTGTTTAGTTTGTCCTGCGCAAAAAGTCTCAATATAGCCTCTGTAATGTAGTCAGGCTTCTTCTGTTTATTAAAACTGTTATTTCTTTGCGAATAGCTTTTGTGATTCCCTGACCTTGAAGAAGTAGTTATCCTTTGATTAACCTTTTGCTTCTGAGAATTTTTAATGGGTTGCAGAGGCAAAGAATAAAAGAACTCAGCTTCTCTGTTTGACAGATACTCTTCAATTGAAGACTTTGAAGCAGATCGTCCCTGCGTTCGGTTGCCTTGTTCATCCTCGGTTTGCGGAATCTGTACCTTTTCTTTTGGAATAAGCACAAACTGTTCATTTATTGTTTTTATTTGGTTTTCAAGTTCTAGGTTCTTTTTTAAAAGTAGTTGCATCTTATTGGACATCTCTTGCATGCCCTGGGTCATAACGGCAAACTTCCGCTCGAAGGAATAAATGTGATCATCAAAGTCTCTTTTGTGGGTTACGAACACAGTTTTCTGCTCGTCCAAGTCCTTATGTAGCTCATCAATTTTCTTGATGAATATGGATCTTTGGTCCGGGGCATGATAATCAGGCTTCCTTTTTAAAGTAGGCCTATTAGCTCTTGCATCTGTGATGCGGTCGTTGGTTGAGGAACGAGTGGCACCACTATTTTTTGGCGCCCTGCCTTGCCCTTTACACATACTTGCAATGAGAATGAAGTAAAATATGATAGATATCCACGGTGAACGCATGATACGTAGCTTGTTCAGAGACCTGTAATCGATATGATAGAAATACCGTGAAATAAATAACTTGTTTGGACTGTCTTGGCAAATGTAAATAATTAAAAATAATTCTATACTATAACGATAACAATAATATCATTTATCATTATTACTATAAACATTATCATTATTATCATCATCACTATTATCATCATCTACATTATCACCAACATCAACATCATCATCATCATCATCATCATCATCATCATCATCATCATCATCATTTTTTTAATTTCATTTATTGTTGCATTATTTATGATTCTGAACTTTGCCACTGCTTCTTTTGATTTGTTTACTTGTTTTGTGTTTGAGATAGGCAATGATCACGGCTGCATGTGGGTTGTGAGGTGCCTAAGTATGTGGGGTGCAGCGCTTCGTATCTGCAAAGAAAGTACCGGTATTGTATAAACTTTATAAATGACCTGATTGGATCGGATTAGATCATCCTTATCATCATCATCACCCCATTATTAAAATCATAGTCAATCGTAAGAAAATGAAAGCTTTATAAATCCTCGCAATAGTATATTATCTTACGTAATTAATTACTAATTACAATCTGATTGCTTTTTTAAAACGGGCAGTACAATATTTTTTATTTTTTATTTTTTTATTTAAAACATCTTTAGGCAGGATAACAAATACAGGCGAGATCTTACCGCTGTTTTACAATATGGTCCTGCAAACACATATTACAATAACAACAACAAAAGTAACCATCACAGTACAACAAAATAAACAACAGTTAAAACTTTGGTGGAAATCTATCCCCCGCCGGACACCAACCCGGTACTTCTGAGTCAAGGTTTCGGGGCCAGGAATTACAGCTCAAGGTTATGCTTAACTACAACTTAACTACAATATGGTAAAAACTATCCCCCGCCGGACACCAACCTGGTATTTCTGAGTCAAGGTTTCGGGGCCGGGATTACCAGGTAGGACAAATACTGTAAAATTACTTAAATAGATAAAAATGGTAGAAACTATCCCCCGCCGGACACCATCCCGGTATTTCTGAGTCAAGGTTTCGGGGCTGTCACAACTTTTATCTTAACTACAAACCTAACTAAACAATGGTAAAAACTATCCCCCGCCGGACACCATCCCGGTACTTCTGAGTCCAAGTTTCGGGGCCGGGAATAAATGTTAAAAGTATAGACTAAGAAAATATAAAAGGAAATGAATTGTGAAATCAGAAAAAGTGTTTCTTATAAGTAATTTAAACATGCAAGGGCATAATCTCTACGTTCATCAAAAAGTTTCCAATTATTTGCTTAATAAGATCAATTCCACGAAAATTTTTAAAATCAAAATTATTTTTAACTATTCTAGCAGCTCGTTTTTGTAGATTTATTAGAATGTTTTTGTTTTTGTTAGACGTAGTTCCCCACACTGAGATTGCATAGTCCATACAGGGTTGTATTGTACTTCTATAAAGAATATTTAGAAGAGATTCATTTAGTGTTTTGCCAATTTATTTAGGATGTTAATTTTGTACCTAATAGTTTTATTTAATTTTCGAATATGGTCATTCCATGTAAGGTTTTCATCAATTTGAAGTCCTAAATAACGGATGCTTTTTACCTCATCAATGGTTTCATTACCAACATGAATATTCAAAGAGGAAAGAGGGCGAACATTTCTATTTTTAATTAACATAAGTTTGGTTTTGGTAGAATTTACAAGTAATTTATTAAATTTATACCAATTTGCGACATTATTCATTATTGATTGTAATTTGATATTAATATTTTCTACCGATTTGTCAGTAGTGTAGATGACAACATCATCCGCATATATGCTACATGATCCTAGAGATACATATTGTGGAAGTCATTAATAAATAATGAAAATAAGATCGGTCCTAACACACTGACCCTGTGGGATGTCAATTTCAACATTTGCTTTTTCAGATAATTTATTATGACATTTGACTATTTGTTTGCGCTGTGAAAGATAACTTTTAAACCATTTGATTTCAGTGTCTTTAATGCCATAATTTTCTAATTTAGTTAGGAGAAGAGTATGATCAATGGAGTCAAAGCATTTAGATATGTCGAGAAAACAGGCTCCAATCATTTCATGGTCATTCAAAGTTTCCATCCATTCATCTATAACTCAATGAAGGCAAGTGATGGTGGAGTGGTATTTTCTGAAGGCATATTGATCTACACTTATGAGATCATTTTCGTTTAGATAACTAACTAATTGATTTTGAATTTCTTTTTCAACAATTTTTGAAATATGGCAATTATATAATTATGTACTCTTGTTTTGCTTTATAATCTATATATTAATATCATAAAAATAGTTTACAGTTGCCTTGAGATTTTTAGTGGTAGAAGCAGTGATGCTTTTATTTTCATGTTTTCATTTAATATCATTTTGTTTACATCTTTGATAAATTCTTTGATAATCTGACGAGGTTCAACTCGTATCATTAATGCGATAGAGAATTATGTTGAATACCTGAACGTAAAAAATAGTTGTTATAAAATCTTTACTTCGCGATTTGGGTTTAGATAATGAGCTGTATTTGGTTGCGGCTTAAATTTATATTTTTATTTTTAACCAGTGTGGCGGGCTTCAATAAAAACGTAGGCTAGTCTTATTAAGAAATAAACTAGAAATTAAACGGTTATGGACAGCAGTAAAGATAATCTGTCTGTAAATTTACATAAAATAATGAATTATTCATTTAAAATTACTGTATAGGCTGCTGCCGTAAGTTAACAACTTCTAATGAAACATGTAAACAATTATAATTTCGTGCATTTTGTTTTTAATTTCTTAAAATATCCAACCTCATCCTGTCACGCCAAGGACATGGTAAGTATGATATGCATCTATCAAATTGCAATGATTAATCATTTTTCATTAGAATTAGAAGAATTAATCAATTCAAATAGTAAATGTTAAAATTCAGGTTTATTGTATCTAGCTTAACATTTTATGAATATGACTACATGCAGTGGTGGCGCCAGATAGGGATGGGGCAGTGGACAGCAACTGAAGCCTAGAGATTGAACCTACCCTTCCCTGTCGGCCACGACTCATCGGACAATAAAATGAATAATGTACTAAAACGTCCCACCCCCCAAGAGTCGGATTGTGGCGTTGTGCGAGGGATATTCAGACTGCATGGCACCAACGGCCAGCGGACCGGCGTGGCATCGTGGCAACAGGTCGGGTGGTGAATTCGTCGACCATTATTGTGCCCCGGGGTTTATTACAAAAGTCCTGGTCTAAATACAGATACAGATGCAACATGATTGAATGACAGATAGAGAAATTCAACTTTGTATACATTGAACCACTATTGTAAAATGTGTTTCCTCCGAAAGACTTGCCTCTGATTAACAATTGCCTCTTTAATATTGTCACAGTCACTAGTCAGATAAAGAGAGATTAAATTGATTTAATGCCGCTGTTCATAACCTTAACACATCCGCAACACAAACAGTATTTAACCCTTTAAAGTTCAGCAGAATTTAACTGCGTGTGCATCGTACCATAGATAGATAATTCCAAATCTCAATGGCGGTATGCTCGTAATTCGTTTGTTTTAACCATAATAAACAAATGTGAACGTATATGCTCACATACTTTACTGACACGTAGTCAATCAATCTTGGTATCTACGACCTAATGTGAACACAATTGTAAACACATTCCTTCAATATGGTGGACATACTAATCCAGGGTCCTACTACTTGGAATGTAGGTCTATGTTGATGGCCGCCGATTTTAACTTGGGTTTTTTTCTTTTTTTCTATAAGTGTGCAATTTGAAATTATAATCGCTATAATGAATCTCTATATCAGATCTTTCTTTTTTGATATGGACAATGGATGTCTGAAATAAAAGTTAAATTGAATTGAATTGAATTTATTTTATTTATATATTTCTGTCGTTTGTGTGATTACACTTTCAGTGACGCAGCACTGGTATCATAAGTGGATCACTAGTAAAAACAATAAAAGAAATCCCAATAAAAAAGAAATTGAACTAAAAACAAAACTGTCTACTTCCTGGCCTATACTATAGTATTGTTTAGTAAAACTTGTGAAAACAAATACTGTCTGTCATAAGCTAAATCATTGAAAATATGAAAATTCCCTATTTGAATTGGTTAATTTATATATTATACTGTAGTACGGTACGTTATGAAGTTACTGTACAATTTTTAAAAAATCTGAATTAGAAAGAAATAATCTAGGTCAAATTGGTGGACATGTAATGTCATAATGTTCTTGTCCAACTTTCCACACTGGTAATCAGTTTATAATTATAGAACTATGGAGAAAATTCTGTTGTGATGTCACGTAGTCTGCCACTTTCATTGACTCCGATGGCGGATAAACACGTTTAATACACACAACATGTTTTGTTTTATCCATGTTTTAATAGTGTATAAGTGAATGTCGTTAGCTTAATTGATATTTAATTTAAATATTGTTTAATTATTTCGGGTGTCTATAAAACGAAGACCGAAGACCCAAAAACGAAAACCCCTATTTATTCTCTTTCATTTTGATGATAATACGCCAGGCTGTCACAAAATCAAAATTACGAAATCTATTGGGCGTCTGTTTGTGAAATTATCAAGGGTCTTCGTTTTTTTTTTTCTCCTAATTGTGATAAAATAATGAAATAGGTAGGGCCTACGTGGCAACTGCTTTGTGATAATTTTGAAATACTTTCAATAAGATAATTTAGAAATAACTGGAGGTCTTCGTTTTTCGGGTCTGGGGTCTTCGTTTTGTAGACACCCATATAGGGTGTTTATAAAACGAAGACCCTTGAAAATTTCACAAACAGACGCCCGAAAAAATAATTTTGATTTTGTGACAGCCTGGTGTATTATCATCAAAATAAAAGAGAAAAAAATAGGGGACTTCGTTTTTGGATCTTCGGTCTAGACACCCATTTCAGAACTATAGGCACGTGACAAAAAAATTAGGAACTAGTTTGATATAGATTTATGAATGCAACGTTCTGTATATAAATTTTAACGATATTAGGTACATCAATTTAAAGTCCTTACCGGTAATATGAAGAAAACAATTATATTCCAAAACATAAAAGAAGTAACATCCCTGGGCACGTCGAACAATTCAAAGGCTCCACGACCTGCAGGCTTCAACACGATCTTACAACTGCGAAACAAAAATGGCAAAAAGAGATAGTAGAGGGGAATTGTTTGGATAAACGGCACGCGATAAAACGTAACTCGAGAAGTTCATGACTTGGGGAGGTCCAACAAGGCCACTCGGTGACGACTATCATGATAAGTGCGACTAATGACAAAATTGACACCTCTCCTGGTAATAATGTCCTAAAATCATCAAACAGCAACAAACATAAAACATACTTCTTGAAAAAACAACCACCTATATCAAGTATACTTCAGTGCCGTGTTTATTTGACAGTCAATCAGTCTATTAGTTGCTTATTGCATAAAATAATCAAAAGGCCTAGTAATTATTTTCTGAACAGTGTTGATGATTGGCACAAAAAAAATAGTAGGCTAATGAAGTGTCTAATCAAACTGTTATACCTCCATAATTTTTATCTCTATTTGCTCTGGCTTAATAACCATTGAGCACTCTGCTGATGATATTTCCAAAACGTTTAACCGTTTTATTCTTTGTATATTATAATATACATTATTTAAGACACCGTGGTCTTTGAATATCAGACCGGAGGAGATAGTTCAGTTGCGCACGTCTGGCAAAATTGCTGACTGCCGCAGTTGGTGTTTGGATATGAAATGAAATCAAGAACGTTGTTTTAAAACGGTGTGTCAGTTTCATCAAAGATTTTGCTATCGCAGTTCATCTCTTCTGCCCAAGACCTCTCAGATGAGATGAGAGCGCTGTTGGAAGGCGCGGCACGATGAAACGGACTACTTTCCACATAATCAAACCGACAAAAAGAAATACCACATTAATTAATTTTACTCTCGATATGAAGAGGTACAGGTTAGTAAAAATCACGCTCAATAACCATTGAGTTTAGGTGAGATGTTGTGATTTCATGCAATTACCCGAATTTATATTAAGGCTGTTATTTTCGTGTTGTAATACATGAACAAGATGTGTGAAATATAGGCGGGAAAACACCAACAGGGTTATTGACACCAATAGCTTCGGTTATTGACAGGCCTGTCTGCTTTGATTATTATTTCAGCCTGTTCTGTCTATAACCGCAGCGAAAAATGAAGTGACTAGGGTGTAAAAATATACGCAATTAATTGCAGATGATGTCTATAATGTTTTCATGTCTTTTGATTAGACGGTGAACTTACAGGAACACCTCAAAACCATAGAATAACGTGTTGTACTTATTAGGATACAGTATTTAAAATTTTATATGAAATTATATAATTTACAGGACTACAAAAATAGGCTTCTCACAGGAGCATGAGTATACTGCACAAACTAGGTCAGAATTACTCTAAAAGTCCATTATCATAGGGCCTAGTCCATTATCGGACAAATTGTTATCAGCCATTGGTCATCTGTCAAAACGATGGACCAATTACCAATTCCCTGATAAAACTACATTCACACTGTACTTGGCATGCCTCTCAAAAATGAAATGAAATGAACCTTAATACATTCCATTTTACATAAAAAATTTCACTTAACACATTCCATTTTACAGATGCATTCCATTATCACAGCATAGATTATATCTTCTCAAGCGCAGTATCCGCGGATACACTGAAAAATTAATAAAACAGCTCGCAATGAGGGTGGGAGACAATAAAGCATACATTATTTTACCCCCAATGAGGGTTGGAGACAATAAACCATACATTATTTTACCCCGTTTTCCTATATGGAGACTTTTCTATACCGTACCTCTGCACCCTAAATCTACTAAATCTAGTGTGGATCTTGCATTTTCTCTCCTTGATTTTTAGGGGTTAATTGCATTAATAATACATTTCTTTGTGTAAATATAACGTTTTAAAAACTTTTTGAGACACTTTTGTGAGTGTGGCATGATAGCACACTGTCCTCGTTTCAGAAGATATAATATATACTGAGAAGCTCTTTTCATAGCTGCCAACCGTCTGGCATCGTTGATAACGAATTATCACGAATTCAGGGGAAAATGTATTTAAAATTAGAAGAAATTAGTTTCGTTAAAAATAAACTGACTGAAACTGCAATTGCCAGCATCAAACACGCACGTAGTTAGGTAAGTACAGTATTTACGTGAATAATAATTCACGTGTTACCGTACTAAAAATGATAAGTATGCATTTTCAGTTTTTTGTGTAAGAAATGAAATGTTTTTGTACTTAGTTAGGGTGGCTTTATTAAAAATAGTTTTTTTATGTACTGGTATTGTCAACAAACACTCCCTGAAATCGTTTTAAAACAGCTACAAAATGCTCAGATCGCCAAAGCGGCCTACCCCTCCCCCCCCCATTTACCTGGGTGCAGTCACTCACGCATTTCAAATCTCTCAGGTTGGTAATTATGTCTTTTGCCAGGAAGTCCCCCTCCCCGACTACCGGTACTGTACTTGAGTGAGATCAGCATTATAAGAACAACATTAATGTCTTTTCCCTTTCACAAATATTAAATAGTCAGTCATAGCGTGTTACGAGAGCTTACCTGATTTCCTATTAACCTATTGACAATGATAAAAATAACCTTTTCATACGCATGATCCTATCTCTCCTGCACAATACGGTATCCAATAAAGAACGCCGTGATTTTCAATTTGTCCAACCGTTATAACAGTGGTACATATACAGCATTTTGTGCACAAAAAAGTATTAAAAACTAAAGCGATCACTCCATGGAGTGCATAAAACCAAAGAAATTGTTTTCGACAATAGGAGGAAAATCTGTAGCCATACTCAGCTTACTATTAAAGGAGAACAAATAGAACAAGTCAACGAACAAAAATATCTCGGAACTATAATTGATAAAAATCTCAAATTTATTTCTCTAACTAACACAGTCTTTAAAAAATCTAACCAACGTTTGTATTTTCTGAAGAAATTGAAACAATATAATGTAAATAAATACAATTCTTATGACGTTCTATAGATATGTCATTCAGAGTGTGCTAACTGTAAATCTATTACCGGTACATTATTTGCGGGGCTGTCATGTGAAAATAAAAAAAAAACAATTAGAGAAAATTAGGAAACGTGCAGGCAAAATTATTTGTGCTGACCTACCAACTAGTAATGCTATGAAGGAAGGGTTTAGAAAAAAATTAAACTGATCATTGATGATCCTACACACCCACTAAATGAGTACTATGTTTTTAATCAGGAATTAGACTGCGCCCACCTAAAGGAAATCACGATCGTTTTAGAAAATCTTTTGTGCTAAATTCTTGCCACTCGCTTGTTAAAATATAGATCTTGACTCAGTTTGTTGATCTGTATCGATTGTAAATAGCTATATTAAACTTGATTAATATAGACTTTTAGGTAATGCATTTTAATCTTTAATTATTCTACTTAATTATTTGTAAAATTTGATTCTGTTTTTGACATTTGTGACTTTGTAGTTTTGAGCTTGTCAACGAAAAAAAATTTCCTTTCTTGGACAAATAAAGTTTCTGTATTCTGTATTCTGTATTCTGTATTCTGTATACATCAGCCTAAATAACGAATAATAAGGGGAAACAAATATTTTTCTTGACCTCTGGCCTCAAGTTACACTCCAGTCTGTAATGTAATTTTTTTTCAGAAAATGAAATTTAATGTAGATCATTAATGTGTATCATTTTTATAAGTGAACTAACGAATTAGGCTTTAAAACAAGTTTAGTTCATCCCCAAATTTGGGGCCTGGAAATGGGGTAATTTCGGGGTTTGGTCAGTTACATGGTTAGCTGTCTTAAAATGTACATATATAGGCCTATATGCCTATAAATATCAGTGGGTTAAGGCGTCTGCATAGGTAGCAGAAGGTCTTGGGTTCGAATCCCGGTCCGGTTGGGAAAACTTATTTTCACACTCGCAGTAAAAACACTCTTCTTTAACCTTGATATTAATAATAATATTAATAATATTGTGCAATTATAATGCGCTAGTGTCCGTCAAGATTCCCATGAACAACGAAAAAATAACAGTTTAAACCTTAGTGAGGGACACTAATAATTCTAGCCACCACAACTTTCAGAACAGGCGTTGAACGATAACGTTTATTTAACTTTCAAATATTTAGTTGTGTCACTGTATCATTGTGCTAATCCTTAGATATGATCAGTGGATCCACTTATCCTCTGTGCTTAGCAGAAACGCTCCAGTCTGTAATGTAATTTTTTTTCAGAAAATCAAATTTAATGTAGACCATTAATGTGTATCATTTTTATAAGTGAACTAACGAATTAGGCTTTAAAACAAGTTTAGTTCATCCCCAAATTTGGGGCCTGGAAATTGGGTAATTTCGGGGTTTGGTCAGTTACATGGTGAGCTGTCTTAAAATGTACATATATAGACCTATATGCCTATAAATATCAGTGGGTTAAGGCGTCTGCATAGGTAGCAGAAGGTCTTGGGTTCGAATCCCGGTCCGGTTGGGAAAACTTATTTTCACACTCGCAGTAAAAATACTCTTCTTTAACCTTGTTATTAATAATAATATTAATAATACTGTGCAATTATAATGCGCTAGTGTCCGTCAAGATTCCCATGAACAACGAAAAAAATAACAGTTTAAACCTTAGTGAGGGACACTAATAATTCTAGCCACCACAACTTTCAGAATAGGCATTGAATGATAACGTTTATTTAACTCTCAAATATTTAGTTGTGTCACTGTATCATTGTGCTAATCCTTAGATATGATCAGTGGATCCACTTATCCTCTGTGCTTAGCAGAAACGCGTACCGTACTTATGTTTATGATTGATTGCTGGATGATACTGTGGAACATCTGTGTACAGTATCTCTGTTAAACAACATTTTGTTTGGACATCCTTTCGAGGCATAAAACTACCAAATTTACTTGACGTATTAATCTCAGCATGTAGAGATAAATACTATCTAAAATGTCAAATTATGATTTTAATAGCTCCTAAAAAGCACGAGGAATACTGTACATATTATATTATCGCAAATAAAGCTGTAGACTGCTGGGCAAAAGTTTGGTAGCAACGTGACTATCACACTATCT